AGAAAAATCATTGCTTTTGAAAATAATATGGAAGATAGATTCCAAAACTGATTACACAATTTGATCAAATACAACTGTCATTGGTGTAAAAACAGATTATATTTAAATCATGATAATTGTGAATTATGTACAGATCATCAAGAAAAAGTTATCATCAATTTGAATGAAGAAGATGAAGATTTTATCAATAATAATAATATTTGGAAATATATAAATGTCTATCCAGAACAAGCAGAGGATACTCAAAGTAATGATGGATCAATCATCATCATTACTATGGCTGAATTAGAAGAAGAAAGAAGAAGAATTTAGTTAAAAAGAATGATGAATTCAGGCTGGAAAACTGTAACTCTAACTCACCGATCACTTCTGGAACCATTTCAAGATGAAAACGAAGAAAATCCAGGAATAGAAAGATTAAAAATGAGAAAAATCAGAAACATGAATACTGGCAATGACATAGTCAGTATTGCGTGGTCGGAAATGTTAGAGGATCCAAATGAAATCTTCAGAAATTCTGAATTAAAGAAAGTGAGATGAACGCTTTCTCACAAAAAGTACACTGTTTACCCACTCCTGAAACAAATGAAGAATGGCGATACTAGCTGATGGCAATTGCCAGCCAGAAGTTATAAAGACCAGAAGATTAATAAGTTAGAGAAAAAAAACTTCATGAGATCAGAAATAATGATAAAAAATATCCAATCTCAAATCGATAATTCTAACCAACTGGTATGGTTAGTTAGAAATATAACTGAAAAAGAAAATAAACTGAAAAATAAAACAATTAATAAAAATAATCTAGGAAGAAAAATAAACAACGAAACAAACAATTGAAAAAACCTATTGGATACTAACGAAACAGTAACATGGTTTCTTTCAATGACTACTAAAATAGATGAACAACAAGATTCCAGAATTAAAAGCAACAACACAATGACAAAATGAAGACATCCTACAAAAAATAGAATAAAAGGACAAATAATACTATAAATTCACCATTCGATGATTCCTGAATGACTAATAAAAACTGGACATGAATACATGTCCATTTACTGTCACCAACAATAAATGCCACCACTTCATCCCAAAGAAATACAAACACCCAAAATGGTGAAAAACTAAGAAGAAACAACTTACCTGGAATATCCAAAATCTTAGAAGAATGGAATGCGCATTTCACAGAATATTGGACTGTGCCAAACAGAAAAGAAAAACAGGAAGCTAAAAAAAAAGTATTAGTAAAAGTAAAAATAATAATTCATACAAAATGACCAAAAATGAAACTAATACTATAATCTATGATCATGTGACACAGATTTGTGAATTTATTAATCAACACTGAAATTTAGGAGAAGTTACACAACATATGAAAATTTACACATTGGCATGGAAATTAGGAATGTCAATTAGCCCCTTATATTATTCTTTGAATTCCAAAAATTCCCTTAAGTACAACTTGCCTAAAGTGTACTACAATCCTGATTTCTTGTAGAATCATCCTGATTTTTCTTTTATTCAATGATGTCTATGCATCATTATTTTAATTTTATTGGACAATATATTAATTTAATAATTCTTATAATTTTTATATAAAAAGATCCCTTTTAAAACTGTTAAAAAAAATAGTATATAACAAAACATAACACATTTAAAAATTTTATATTTTTTTCTTTTATTTTATTTTAAATTTATTATGTATATTTCAATTCCAATTGAAATTTTATCCTTTGAAATTCAACAAATTATCACTGAATTATCTACAAAGTTGAAGCAATAATATCCAAACACAAAAGTAGAAATTGATGAGAATGGGACCAATATCTACACTAATATTAATCTGGATTTATTGAATAATAATCAACCAGATAATACAACAGTAGAAGTTCCACCAGAATCTTCTATACCAATTCTCAATATGAAAGGTTGGATCAAATACGAATAGTGCATAATTCTAGGCATAAATGAATTAATACAAGCTGGACCAACACTTGGAACACTGATCAAATGGCTAGCAAGTAAAGAATATTTATTTATGTATACTTTTGATTTCGACAACAACTAGTATACAAAGGCTTCTATCTATTTTGAAATTGGAAGAATTCTCAGCGATCTCACTAATGGACTAAGAACAAAAACTCGCATAACTGAAACCAAAAATCTTTATTGACAAAATATTACTTTCACTAATGCCAAACACCAAAGTATTCTTGCTATGAGAATATACCAATATTTTAAGAATTATGAAACAATTCTCACATTCAAGGACATTGATAATTATTTATCAATAATGCTATTGCAAGAATCAATTCAAATAATAGTAATAGTTTGAATAGGAGATTTTCAGAATATTTTAATTACATATCACAAACTTTCATTAGAGAACAATAATTTTATTTCTATTTTTATTTTTATTTTTACTTTATCTTATTTTAAATTTTAATTTTACAGTGTAAAATTCTTAAGAATGAGAGTTCTGTTATAATTTAGATTTTCACTAAATTATAAAGTCATGTACTGTTAAAATCTTATATTCTTATTGGTTATATTTTATTTATATTTTATTGGATATTATTTTTAGTACGCTAAGTTAC